TGGTATGGCAGGGGAAATCCTTTATGGATACCCACGGGTTTTGGGGGAGACCCGTGAGTTATGTGGGAATCTCCTGGGGATAAATCCGAGGCATACCCTCTAAACCCCTGCCGGTAGCCTTCCTACACCGTTTAGAGGGAGGGTGAGGCATCACCAGAAGTATTCTTCTCACCCTCTCTCAGGTCTGACCGCCTCGCGGTCTCTTCTCGGAAAGGAGCGGGGATTTAATTCCCCCTCTTTCATGTTTCCCGTTTTTATCGGAAAAGGCCGGACTACCGCGACCTTTCCCCGCCCTTCCGTGTTTATTGGGGGGCTGAGGCCAGTCAGGAGCCCCCGCTCCTGGCTGACCCCCCGCCGAAAGGTGGAGAAGCCATAGAATTCCTATAATTCCACCTTCCGCCTGTCCGAGTTGCGAGGGCCTTGTTTGGGCCCTCCCACGGGGTCCTCCCCGGGGCTTGGTGAACATCACCGCCCGGGAAGGCCCCATTTATCACCTGCCCCCTTGGGGGTGGGGAGATTGAGATGGCGGTAGCTGAGGAGAAGAAGCATCGTCTCTCCCTCCCATCGCTTCCCCTCTCCTCACTCTTTCCGCCTCCTCCTTCTGCGACATTACTCTGTCGCAGAATTCGGAGGCGGCTCTCCATTTGTCCTCTCCCTCTAGCATTGCTCTCACCAATGCCGGTAGGGAGAGATCCTCGCCGACCACTGCGGTCAGAACCCGACGCTCTTTCTCCCACGCTTCACACTTCGTGAGAGGGTGCTGCGCCGAGTCCCGACCGGCCGCACAGTGGTGGCACTCGGTTGTATACTCCCTTCCTATCCTACACAGGTAATCACCGAAACATCCGTGCCCGGTGAGTACCTGCGTAAGGTGGAACCCAATTCCGTGTCCCCTCCTGTGCGCCCATTCCGGGAGACAGGGTTGGATGGCCTGGGTGGTCCATCTGCCCGCCGTGGAGCCAATTAAGGAGGCCTGCCACGCCTCCATGGCTCTTTGACGGGCATCTTTCTTGAGCCTGGCCACGGCTCGTGGTAATAGGCGGGCGCTCCCGTGCCGGTCCGGGTCTCTCGTACGCCGATATATTTCGGCATACAAGGTCGCCAGAAACTCGACCGGAAGCCTGCCAGAATTGTGGCTGCCGCGAACGACGTCGTGCAATAGGCCCTTATTAGCTTAATGGCCAGCCGGCGTTGCGGGCGATGTAGCATCGCCTTTATTCGCCGGCTGGCCACGGCCCTGTCGGCCCACGCCGGCGCTCCATAAAGAAGCACCGACTGCACGACGTTCGCATAGAGTCTGCGGACTCCGTTGTTCGGACCACCCAAGTTCGGTAGGAGACGACCCAAAGCCGCCGCCATCCTATCCGCTTTGGGGGTTATCCCAGCGAAGTGCTGCTCAAACCCCCAAAATCCATCCAGGGTGAGGCCCAGATATTTCATCTGGGTCCCCACCCGGACACGGACTTCCCCTACCCACATTAGCGGCATTCGCCGCATTTCGGACCTCTCTCCAGCTCTTCCCCCGAGCCACCACAGCGTGTCGTCTGCATAACACAGCAGACGACAGCCCGGAGGAAGCGCCGTGCAGAGCACTCTGTCATAAGCGAGGTACCAAAGTAGGGGTCCGAGTACCGACTTCTGAGGAACCCCGCAGCAGACTTTCCTCCGGCTTACCCGCTCCAGCTGATCTTTCAGCTGGAGCGTCTTGTCGCGGAAGTAGTCTCAAAGGACCTCTCTTATGTATGGGGGGAAGCCATGGAACTCGATGGCCTCCCCTACGTGTTCCCAGGGGAGGGAGTTGAAGGCGTTGACGATGTCCAGCGACACCGCCAACGCCACATCTCCCTCCCCTACAATTTGGTCCGAGAGGGCTCGCAGATGCGTAATCGCATCCGTTGTCGATCGGCCCTCCCAAAACCCAAATTGGTCCTCCGATAAGTCGGGATCATCCCGCGACAGGTGCTGGACGATTCGGCCGGCAATTATCCTCTTGAACAATTTGCCGACCTCGTCCAGCAGGCATATCGGCCTGTAAGCCGAAGGTTGCTCCACCGGTTTCCCCTCCTTGCGAAGGAGCACCAGATTCGCTCTCTTCCACAAGGACAGGAAGGCGCCCGTCCTGAGACATGTATTGTACATTCTTCTCAGGCGGGCACCCACCACGCCAAAAGCCAAGGCCCATGCTCGACCGGAGACTCCGTCCGGGCCAGGGGCCTTGCCAGTAACTCCCAGCCTTTTGGCCGCCTCAGAGAGCTCCCTCTCAGAGATCTCCAGGTCCTCAGACCAGGGGGTGGGATCCCTCCTAGGGGGATGTAAATATCCCTAATTGGGAATAAACTCCCCACCACCTGGTCGAGGAACCCGGGGTCCAGCGTCTTCGAGATTGGGGGCGCCGCCGGTCTCAGCCTGTTGAGTACCAAGCGATACGGACGCCCCCAAGGGTCCCGGTCGAGTTTCGCCAACAACTCTTCCCAGGCCTTGGCCTTGGCCCTGCCGATGGCTAGTCGCAGCGAGCCCCTTGCGGCCAGGTATTCGCTGCGCTTTTCGGCAGTGTTCTCCTCATCTCCTCCCGCCTTTCGTCGGGCTCTGAGGAGATCGCGTCTGGCAGCGTTTACTCGCCTCCGCAGATCCGCGATCTCCTCCGTCCACCAGTAAGCCGCCCAACGAGGGGCGGGCTTTGATCGGGGCATGGCCGCGTCGCAAATACGCTCGGCCATGTCCCCGATCTCCTCGGCTTCGGCCTCGGTGTCGACGAGGTCGGGAGGATCCGTCCACGTTTCCACCAAGGCCGCCGCCACCAGTTTGTCCTGGTCTAAACGGGCCAGGGCCCATCTTCTTGGGGGTTTATCGCCCTTTTGTTGATGGCGGCGGATCAGCACCTCCTGGGGGGTGGCAGTCAGGACCATCTCTATGTGGAGATGGTCCGAATAGGACTCTCGGTCCGCCACCCTCCAGTTTCCTACCAAGTGTGCCGCCCGGAGGGATGCCCACGTCAAGTCAACGATGGACTCCCCTCGAGGGTGAACACAGATGCTTTCGGACCCCCTGTTTAGTAATAGAAGGTCCAGCTCCGCCGTCCAGTCCAACACGGCCTCACCCCTGCTGTTGGTGCGCCGGGAACCCCACGCCCGTGCCCAGGCGTTAAAGTCTCCGGCCACCAGTACGGGATGGGGGAAGCATCGGCAAATGCCAGCCCCCATTGTCCGCAGTTGCTCCAAAAATTCGGGATGAGGCCGTCTTGGCGGGGCATAGACCTCCATCACATGGAAGGCACCCCACCGCGCCATAACGAACCCCACTTCCCGTTCCACAAGGTAAGGGGGAGCACGGGGAGTGCCTCCTCACGATGACGACGGAGTCGCCCGAGGCTGAGACCCAATTGGGTTGAGTCCAGCACCCGGTACGGCTTCGCCACCCCCAGTCCTGCGTCACGCTCGCACAGGTCCGCTAGGAAAGATCCTAGGCCCGGCGAGCGTGATTCAGATTGGCCTGAAGGAGCTTCGTGGACATTA